AACTTTTGTGCACTCAAATTCCTTATGTTCTAGTAATACAGTAATATAGTAATAAGTGCATTTGTGCAAAAAAAAATAAAAAATAAAATAAAATATATATATATATATATATATATACACACACAAGCATAGTGTAAAGAATGATTTCATCCAAACAAAATGCATATATATATGCATAAATCCAACTTTAACATTATGCGCTGAAACGCATCTGATTTTAGCATTTGTACATAGTATATCATGAGTATATGAACATTTTTTATTCATCTTTTTTTTCTTCTTAAAATCACAAGATTAACATTTTGAACCTGAGGGGAAAACAGTGCTGCAAATACAAGAACTAGAAAAGTGAGAGTTTCTGCCCTCAGGGTGCCAATACCGAGACACACCCAGAAAACAAGCTGCAGCAAAGCCACCTCTACTGTGTCAGTTATATACACACAGAAATATAGAATAGAACATTTCATTCTTTTTTTTATTTGAAAATATGGTTTATCATATGTACATACAAGAATATAGAATAGAATGTTTAATATCTTATTAAAAATACAATTTAACAGGTATTTATATAACTTATAAGCCTAAGCATTCAAAATCCTAATTGTGTATTCATCTCAAGTGAGGCATTTTGTTCGGATTCAATCTTTCTTTACACTATGCTTGTATATAGTATAAAGACAAGTCTTAGTGTTGTTGCCATGGCGACAAGAACAAAGTAGAAAAACAAATAAGTAGAAACCAGAACAAAAGGGGAACAACGTTTAGCGCAGACGTTAAGACCGTAAATTTTGATTGCCTGATATGAGAACAAGAAAGTTCTTTAATAATTAAGCTTAAGCTGATAGAAGGGAGTGTTTTAAAGTGAAGAAATAAAAGTTGGATATGTTCATCAATTTGCACTGGCTACCAGTAGCTGCTCGCATTAAATTCAAGGCATTAATGTTTGCCTACAAAACCACCACTGGCTCTGCACCCATTTACCTAAATTCATTACTTCAGAGTTATGTGCCCTCTAGAAGCTTGCGTTCTGCACGTAAACGGCGTATTATTGTGCCATCTCAAAGAGGCACAAAATCACTTTCACAGACTTTTACATTAACTGTTCCCTCCTGGTGGAATGACCTGCCCAACTCAATCCCAGCAGCTGAGTCCTTAACCATCGTCAAGAAACGACTAAAAACACATCTCTGGTGACCATCAATATAGGCCTATATTCAGACTTATAACAATATCTAGGTTTTCTGGACTGTTGGTTGATAAAATTATTAAAATATTCAGTTCAAAGAGAAAACATTCTAAATATGGAACCACACAGAAATTAAACTGGGATCTTTATTAATGGATCACTAGATGTAAAGAAAAAGAGGTAAGTTTATAAGTTTGTCCCTCTGACAAAAACATTTATATAATAATAATAAATAAACAATACAGGCCACACTTAGTTTGTTGATGTGTTAAACACTGCAGCATGCAACACAACTCCAAACATTTAAAACATAAAACTGCCCGGTCCTGCAGATTTGCTTTATACAACATTAGGAACACCTGCAAAGGTTTCCTGAGCCTTCAAAATGGTCTCTCAGTTTGGCTCACTAGGCTACACAATCATGGGAAAGACTGCTGATCTGACAGTTGTCCAGAAGACAATCATTGACACCCTTCACAAGGAGGGTAAGCCACAAACATTCATTGCCAAAGAAGCTGGCTGTTCACAGAGTGCTGTATCCAAGCATGTTAACAGAAAGTTGAGTGGAAGGAAAAAGTGTGGAAGAAAAAGATGCACAACCAACCGAGAGAACCGCAGCCTTATGAGGATTGTCAAGCAAAATCGATTCAAGAATTTGAGTGAACTTCACAAGGAATGGACTGAGGCTGGGGTCAAGGCATCAAGAGCCACCACACACAGACGTGTCAAGGAATTTGGCTACAGTTGTCATAGTCCTCTTGTTAAGCCACTCCTGAACCACAGACAACGTCAGAGGCGTCTTACCTGGGCTAAGGAGAAGAGATTGTGACAGAGAGCGGAATCAGTAGCATTTTTAACTCTTTATTATTTGATATGTTGCTTGATGCATAAACAATTATGCTATATATTCTTAAACAAAATGCTGAATTGCTTGATTTAAAACACAACACTCATCTAATTCAGCAGTTTTACAAACAAATTTTAAGAGGTCTTGAAATGCATTGCCTTAGTTGGTCTGCATGGCTTTCCACTCCTGAACATCTGCTCCACCCATTCTGGCTCACATTATTTCAGCTTATATGCCAGAAACCAGAGTTTCATGCTTCGCTGCAGGAGTAGGCTATTTATATTTTACAAAAACTCACTTACTTTAAACAAACAAAGTGTTTGTGATCAAAGTTGTGTCCCTATGAAGGTGTAACATCACTCGGATAGTAAGAATTCATATGTATGGCTATATGACCAAGTGTGAAATATGTGTGAGGAGACTCTCCTGGGAATACGTATGAACTTATATTGAACTCGACAGTAAGGTGGCCAACAATTTTTAAGTTGTCAAAAAGGGTGGTCCTCTTTCACAAGTTTTAGGCGCTTAGTGTAAATAAAGTACAGGGAAGTGTCAGAGAAAAAGTCAAACATTTGATGATATATCGTTTTATGGTAGCCTAGCGCAATTTACACAACTCTAGAATGACAAATAGAGGAGTGTGACATAAAGTCTAACGCCTGAACTGAGACAAATAAACTGAAGTCTAAAGCCTGCTTCCTAATAAGTGCTACATAGTAATTATGTGCAAAATTCAGTAATTTGTCATTCTTCTCTGAATTATTCAAAGCTAGTTATGTGCAGCTGGTAAATAGGGGTTGTCTCTTTGTAGTTGTTCTGTACAATTAAATATTTATGTAAGCATAAGTTATAATAATCATAATGCACAAGAGAAACACCTGTGAAATTCTATTCATTCAATGTTGTGTTTGCAAATTGTTGTGATGATTGTAATATATTACACAAGGTGAGTCATATATTTGTATTTAGTTAATGCAATAAAAATATTAAGAATCTTCTCGTATTGTATTAATTAAATAATCCAAATATGACTCACCTAGCCAAACAACAAAGAAATAAGTTTATAGTTTTGTATCTCTCTGTGCAGTATTTGATTTTCTTTTTTTCTCTGAACAAAAGCATGCATTTTAAATGCGTTTCAATGTGTCTTTCTTTGCCTTCTGTTTAGATTTTCATTGCAGCGCTATTGTGCCGAGCCTTTCAGTGAATGTAACCCTTTGTGAGCCTGAACCAGGTAAGCATTTGAGGACAAAGGGTGTGTCAGATCAATACAAAGTGCAAGTTGGGTAACATCTAGAGACTAACAAGGGGACAGATTCCTTCGTTTTTCTCCCTCGAGGTTTGACAAGTATACACAAGTATGTGGGAGTCTATGCCCTCCGCCCTCCTGTCAATCATTTTTGGTACTTTTCAAAAATTCATAATTGATCTTGAGCAATTATTTTGTTCTTCTTATGATTGCAATTAAATGATCATTTAGGCATAGATTTATAAGAGCATATGTGTTCCAACTATTTGCTCGAAAAGTGCTTTGATCTTTGCTTCAAGTAGAATACGTTACTGCTGTCAGTTTTATCCGTTTCAATAACAATTTTTTTTTTACATTTAAGATATATTTTTTACCATATTATTATGCATACACAGGTGCGGACATACAAAGAGATCTACAAAAGCCTTGTTTAATTGGAACTGTGTGATTTATTATACATGTTGTACATGCAGATTTAATGACTCCACATAAATCCAGAGACAAAATGATGTAAATATATATATATATATATACTATATATTTTTTTTTAAAGTTGTAAATAAAAACAAGATTATTGGAGTAAATTTCATGATGAAATACCATTTCAGTCTTTTTTACTTCAAAGTTTAATGTTTAATTCAATGTATTACTAGCCATGTCTTTGCTTGCAAAATTTACTAGCAAGTGAAATTTGTTTCTGCACACTTTTTTCGTGTACTTAGGAAGATCAAAGGTCAAAAGGTGATTTTAAAATGGTTAAAAAAAAACTTTGTGGAATTTATGATAAGCCACCTTAACTAAATATACATTTTCCTTACACATTCCATCTTAAAATCCTTGTTGAAACGTTTGTTTCAGTGTTATTTGTCTAGTATTTCAGTATCTTAACTATGAGATACTGCAGATTTCAGGAATGTGCAAACAAAGGCTTGTGCAGGCCCGTCACGTAGTCATCTGCTTGTTCTCAACCAGTGAGCTTTTCACCTGATCTTTCTGACCGCGCTGGGAGTTTCAAAGAGTTAGTTGTTTTTATGCGGTTTTCAGAGATTTATGGCATTGCTGAATGGGAAAAGGTATGCTCGTCAAGAGATTCATTAACACTCATGCTTGCAAGAAACCACCATATAATTAAACCACCACATAATGTTTGGGTGTGTTGCATTAACAAAGGTATGCCTTCCAATAACAGTCATCTAAAATAAGTCTTGCTCATGTAAAGTTAGCAAAAATGTGGCAATAAGTATTTAGATGTTTTCTATCTTTCCCCATGATGTCTGAGTTTAGGGGGAAAACACGGAATTGCTTGATTTATATTCTTCAGTTTAAAGAGCTTTTCATCTGTAACCTATTACGTCAGTCTTAAAGCATTGAGAGTATGGGGTGTTTTGAACAGAGGTTTCAGTTTGCTTTCGTTTTATTGGACCACCCAATCCCCACCCCACTGAAGCTCACATTACTGCAGCGTACAGGTCAAAATCTGCCGTTTAACCCTCACCGGGTGTTTCCTCCTCAAGAGTATTGATATTTTACATAGACTTGGTAACTATAAACAAGCAAACTGATAATGTCCAAGGTTGTGACCCTTTGCTGGTGTGCACAGACCAAATTACCTAGTTTATTATGGTATTAAACAGGATATTAAAAGATTAGTTCACCAGTTATCGGATTTGAAAATAACCTCACTGGCTTCCTAGACCAATTTTGGGTTTGTTTTAGAGGATACCAGTAATTAAAAACTACAAAATTGGTATCTCGGGTATTCACCTGTTGTTCTGTTGTACTTGAATTGGCTGTAATTACATTACAACAACCTAACTGTAATACTATTGATAATAGGACACCTACACAATATTCAAAGAGTACAATTGCGGTAAATACAACTCAGAATGAATCAGAGGTACTTCTACAACTGAAAATAAAATTAAAAAAAAAAAACACCCGTGAGAACCTGTCCATGGCATTCGTTCATAAAGTGAGTCTTTTATTCTGCAGAACATTGTGAGTTATAACGGAGTCATTTGTTTACTGTAATAGGATTATGTTGTAACAAAGTGTCTGTTTGTATGAGCGATAACCTTTTTTGTCAAACCATGCAGAAGACAGAATTAAAATAGGTGCTGATTATCGTATTTTATGAATTTTATTTGTGGAATGCTTGCATTGTCCCTCTATTTCTTGCTGTGAATGTGGTCTGTGAGTCTCAGGTGAGCGTTTGAGGACTGGGTGTGTCGGATTGATTCAAAGCGCAGGTTGGGTAACAGCCAGAGACTAGGGGACAGATTCTTTCATTCCTTCTCCCTCAGGGTTTGGCAAGTAAACACAGGCATGACAGCAGAAAAATTGCTATCGGTGACCTACGCCCTCCCATCAATCACTCGCCTGGTTAAGTCACACACTCTGCTGTCAGAAATTCTTGCGAAATGTTTTTTTTTTTGCGGTTGAATAAAAGCTTTTCGGGCTGATGTCGTTTCGTATCTATGACTCTGCTTTCCAGATGTGGTGAATGAAGCCACAGGGGGACTTCTGCAATTACCGTTTTTGCCATTTCTGTTTTGTGCTTGTGTCATGTATACTAAATAAAGGTTCCTTACTGACATCGATGGTTCCGTGAAGAACATTTAACATCCATGGAACCTTTTCGCTGCACAAAAGGTTCTGGTTCTTTAGATTATTCAAATGTTCTTCACACTAAGAAAAAATGTTTCTTTTAAGAACTGTTCACTGGACGGTTCTTCTATGACATCATGGCATAAAGCCCCTTTTGGAACCTTTATTTTTAAGAGTGCATAAATGTGTGCACTCAGTGTTTTCCTATGCTGACATCTTTAATCTAGAGACTATGTTTTGATACAAGACTAAAATCATCCAAAAGTGGTGCACGTTCATGACTTGCTCCCCGGATTAGTCTGAGATAAGTAATATTCTTAGAGCTTGTCTCATCTTGTCTGCAGGAGTCAGTTGCCCTTTTAAGGTCCGTTGTTGGAACCGTTCTCCAATTGCAGTCCAACTGAGGAATGCAAGCCAGTATCTCACACATGTGTCCAATAGTTTTCACCATAAACCATCCAGCTGCATACTGCTGTTGGGCTTCCAGTTCATTAGAATGAACCTTGGAATATAAGATGTAACTTTTCCACTGCTGTTGCCAGGGAGGGAAATTAACTGTTGCTTATACTTTCCGAGCATTATCTTATTATTATTGTGTAACTGTGAATTTTGTAAATGATATGTGAGCTTGCAGACAGGCACTGTTGCATTTGTCTGTTGGCAATAAAAAAGGAAACACAGCGTTGCACAGCAAAATCTCAATATGTACTACCATTCAAACATTTGGGGTCAGTAAGATTTGGTAATGTTTTAGAAAAAAGTCTCTTATGCTCACCATGACTGCATTTATTATATTGCAGTCATGGTGTGTCCCCTGTAACATTTGTGGTTTTGACTCCCATCAGTAAAGCTCATGGTTATTGCCTTATAAGGTGCTGTAGAAATCTCAAGAGTTGCAGGAACATGCCCTTGTCACAGTACACTTGATATAAAGTGCCAAAGGCAGAAAACGCTGTGAACCTATGCAAACAAAGGCTTAGTAAAATAGAAATAAAACCGAAAATGACCGTTTAACCCTTCTATTGCATGCATATTCTTTTCAAATAAATTGAAATAATACATAAATATATATACATATACTTTGCTGTGTAGGAATTTTTAAAACAATGCGTATTGACAGTATCTCAGAGAATTATCTTCTAGATCAATGTTTCTATTGAATGTTTTCTTGAAGTTGGATAAATACTCAAAAGGTACTCTGGGTTTGTTACCCTGAAGCAACATCACGAATTGAAGGTTACGTGTGAGGAAATGTTGCACTGTGCTGATTTGAATATAAGGTAATATATGCAACACTTGTTCAGACAGAACTCTGTATGCAAAAACACATTCTCTTCTAACTAAAGAGACCCCACAAGCTCTAATACAAACAAAGGAGCTTATGTGAGGAATCACTTTAGTCTATGGTGCATATCTTGAAATAATTATATGATCACTGACTTGAAATATGTTGCAGAAGCTTTATTGCACAATTTTGCCAATGAAATCTGTGCTCCAGCTGGCTTTCTCACAGAAGATTACAGTGACGCGTTCCTGCTGAATCATACTTGGATGGATTTAAAACCATTTCCACAAGAACGAGCTTATGTCATGCACACTAAAAAAGACCACACAATTAATGTCAATTAAAATTTTTATTTCTTATAAATGTTTTGAGATTTTTACAGTTTCAATTTTATTTTATTTTATTTTAAAAAATAAAGGTTCTTTATTGGAATTGATGGTTCCATGAAGAACTTTTCACATCAATGGAAACTTTCCATTCCACAAAGGGTTCTTTTCAGTCGAAAAAGTGGATGCAACTTTTCACTTTGATTTTACAGTAATTAAGTTTTCAATTTGAATGGCTTGTTTTCACACACAAACTCAATGTGTGTCTCTAGAATTTGAGCACATTAAGTCTTTTTCCTAGAATTTTTCTTTCTACTCACCAATTATCTTCAAGTACTCTGAGCTCTATTCCCCTTCAGTTGGTTGTTTGTGACAGTATTAACACATACAGTTTCTTTAGCAAACAATGAGTTGTTTCTCTCAGATAATCCTGCAAATAACTAGCATCTAATTTGTAAAACAAATGTTGGTGCAACTGCGAGTGTTGCCACTGGCTAGATCACCCACCCAGAAACATTTCTAGTAACACCAAACATGAAGATTTCAATCTGTGGTCTGAGAGATTATCTTATTTATTAAAAAGCATTTTTGTATGAATTTTAAATGTTCTTGCATTTCAGATTTGATCGTCTCTCTTGAGTTGAAGAAATAGATTGCTCCAAAATGAAAATGTGCTCACCCTGAGGCCATCCAAATGTAGATGAGTTGTTTCTTCATCAGAACAGATTTGGAGAAATGTAGCATTCCATTACTTGCTCACCAATGGATCATCTGCAGTGAATGGGTGCCGTCAGAATGAGAGTCCAAACAGCTGATAAAAACATCACAATAATCCACAAGTAATCAGCACCACTCCAGTCCATCAATTAATATCTTGTGAAGTAATAAAAGCTGTGGTTTATAAGAAATAAATCCATCATTAAGGCATTTTAACTTTAAACTGTTGCTTCTGGCCAAAATACAAGTCCATAATAACACTTCCTTCAATAAAAAGGTCACATCAAAATCCACCAACATGTTTGTTTTGAACTGGTTTTGCTTGAAAACCATGTTTGATTTGTGCATATTTCTCTCCTGATTCAGATGGATGTAACGGTTTGAAGTTAAAAACATATTTTATGATGTATAACACACAGCGTTTCACTTCACAGGACATTAATTGATGGACTGGAGTGGTGTGGATTACTTGTGGATTATTGTGATGTTTTTATCAGCTGTTTGGACTCTCATTCTGACGGCACCCATTCACTGCAGAGCATCCGTTTGTGAGCAAGTGATGTAATGCTAAATTTCTCCAAATCTGTTCAGATGAATAAACACATTCATCTACATCTGGCCTGAATGTGAGTAAAATTTCAGCAATTTTTCACTTTTCGGTCAACTATTCTTTTAAGTCAAATCCTCCTGACTCGAGCACAATAGTCTTCAGTGTTTCTGAAATGATCATTATCATGCCTTGCCTGATGAGTGTAGATAACCGAGTGATCCTGTGATCATTCTTATCTTTGTTAAACAACTGCTATTGATTTGTTAATGTGGCAGAAACTCCTGTTGCGACCTTTACATGCCAAATTCGTAACACGGGATGTTTTCTATCTGGTTAACACAACTAAGCCCCATTTATATTCAGATGTTATCCCAAATCTGAGTCTCCATCCCTTTGAAGAGCGGATCACAAAAGATAATCCGCACTCTTTAGTAATTTTTTCCAATTCTTAGACGTAATTAATCTGTCAACATCCACCTGGAATAAATAACAACAACAGGGCATAAGTGAAAGAACGGTTTGAGTAGATCTTAACACATATTCATGCAAAGATCTCAACAATAGCAGGCTGCTAACATGCAGATGTTGTCTTGCTGTGTAAATAACCACACTCTCATTGAAACTTGCAAGCAAACACACTTACATCTGCTCCGACCAGTTCTACCTGTTACATACTGTCCATTCATTCGCCTTCCTCCCAGTTTGCATTTCCTGGAGAGGGTGTCAAAAGTGGTACTATATTTACAAATCATACCAAACTTTTGTCACTCATCCTAAAAGAAAGAAGAAAGAATGTGAATACCTGATCCTCTAACTACACCTGTAATCATAATGCTGTCATGGAAAGAAAAAAACCCACTTTTTTTCCCTTTTTTTTTTTGTTGCAGGCGTCATCTCAGCCCACCATGACACTGTGCGGTTTGTTTTCATAAGACCACATTTCCTCATTGCAATGCTTTGCCCAAACACTATGCTTTTAAGGGGATAAAACTTTTCAAAACTTGAAATTATATAATTTATTCACTCATGTTGTTCCAAACTCAAGTTGATTTTGCAGAGATCAAAAGAAGATATTCTGAAAATGTTTCAACTCTTTGTCCAGATTATGAAAGTCAATGGGGTCAAAAACCACACTGACTTTGACTGTATGTACATATCCTCAAAATAATTATCCCTTTAGCTACTCACACAAAGAAAGTGCTTATACAACTGAGAAGAGTCCTGCTGGAAAGTTGTTTGTGTG